AGGATAAGGGGTATTTCAGTCAATAAAAAATGGCGTACGCCTGCTATCATGCGCCTATACACGTAGATGAAGGGCAAAAAGGGGCGTTCCGAGAATCGAACTCGGGACCTCTCGCACCCAAAGCGAGAATCATACCACTAGACCAAACGCCCTTAACGTAGGAATTGATCTTATAGTTAATATAATTACGTTCAGATATTAATCACGAGATTATCAACACTCCTAAGTCCCTAAACAATACCAAGTAAGAAAGGGCCTCAAAGACTTTCAATCAAAATTTTAGTGAAACATTTATTTTTTTGGTTAAAAAAGTGGAACATTTTTGTATTGTATTTCAAAAGAAGCATATTATAATCGTGTGTACCAATGTAATCACATCGAGTAGTTTCGAGTCTCCCTTCTATATATTCCCACCAATGCTACAAACAAACAGCAAATTCCATTTCCAATGAATCCCAAATCTCCCCAGGTCCGGTTCTCACCATCTACGGCGTCTCCTTCCATACCAAAACGCAAACGCAGCCACAGATGCAGCAACAACCACGCCAGTGGCCGCGTGCCATATGTGCAAAGGTTTCTCCATCATCACCACTCCTGAAGACTGCCTCACCATCTCAGAACTCGGAACATCTTTAACTTTCGTAACTTTCTGCTGACTCACCACGGTCTGAGCAAACCCGAGTCCTTCTCTTCCCAGTGCTTCCAAATCAGTCACAGCTGGTTTCAATTGTGTCGCCTTCGAGATAGTTTCATAATCTTCTTTACTCCCTCCTTCAAGAAACGACCCAACAAGGTAACCCTTTTTAACCCAATACGCTCCAAACGATTTGCCATCTTCATACTCCCCAAAGTGCATGACTTCACCTGCAGGGTCTCCATAGAATTGCCACGAGAAGGCGAAGACCCTTGAGTAGAAAAACGGCAAGTAGTCAAATTCTCCGGTCTTTTCTGGCTCCATGATGGCTGAAACTGCATGTCGTGCAGATTTCCTAGCCGAGTCCACATGCTCAAGCCTCCTCATTTCGCCGAAGATTTTCACTGGAAATGTAGCTACATCGCCTATTGCATAGACCGAGCTGTCACTTGACTGCATTTTGCTGTTCACTTTTATCCCTCCTTTCTCTATTGTTAACTGTCCTTCAAACAAGCTTGTGTTTGGTCGTATTCCAATTCCAACCACGACCAAATCTGCTGGTAACTGGTTCCCGTCTTTGAGATTAACCGCCGTGACCTACAAATCGAAATCCCAAAAAGCTCATATCAATAAACAAACACAGTGAACACTGCTCAAGATTTCATAGTTTCATCCTTGGACCAGGAGGATCCATTGTTCTATTGATTCTCCCATCTTTTAGTTCTATACATAGATGTTCGAGTTGAATCTCAAGCTACAAAAAAGGATCTAACCTTTTTATTTTCGTCAAATTCAAATGAAGTCAAAACCGTTCCTTTTACGAATTTCACTCCTTTAGCCCTGTAGTAATCTTCATACAAACTTGCAATCTTGGGCGTAAAGAGACGCGCCACTGTCACGAAAAAACTGAAAAAGGTCAAGCCAAATACCCAAGCTTGCTCTTTTACACCTAAGTTGAGTAATAATCGATAGAACTTACTGCAGTGAGCCTCTGGAAAAACCATCGTCACATTGATTTTGTTGATCACTAAAGATGCAGCACACTCCATGCCGATATAGCCACCTCCAATAACAACAGCATTCCCATTGGAGCTTGATTTAATTGTAGTGGCAAGCCTATTTGCATCGCCCAGATCTCTTAAGTAACAAACATTTTCAGCATCTGATCCTTCCACCCCAAATTCTTCGAGCTTTAATGCCTGCTTGCACAAGCCACGTATGACAAGAATAAGGCCACGACCTTAGCAGTTCAAAGTTCTAAGCTTTAAAACAGCACAAGTTCCTAAATAATGTTCAGGAGTGAGCTGATTTGCCATATCAGTGTTCACAGCATCTAACAGATGTTCCAGTATTACAAAACCAATTTCTTCAGTCAATTTAAGATTCTAATGGTAATAAGCAATAACAGATTGTAAAATCTCAAGGACGATAATATGATGGTGAGCACCAGTAATTTATCATATACGATAACAGCATTTTCTCACCCGCACACATTCTTACTTTGGAAAAACGAAATCATATATATTATTGTGCAATCCATACCCTGGCACCTGTGGCAATGATCAAGATTTTGTAGCTTATAGTCTCCCCGGTGCTCGATAAAAGAGTCTTTCTCCTCACATCAACAGACTTAACACGAGTTCCAAGGACCAATTCAATTCCTGACAGAAGTATTTCACAAAACTGTCAGAAATTACTCTCATAGTCATAGCCCAAGTAGTACTTTCTCAAAATCAAAAGAGCAGATGTGATTACCATGTTCCTTGTACCATTTCGGAGTGAGCTTCTCATCATTAGCTCCAACACAAGTGTGGAAAGAAGGAAGCCGTGCAGGAGCTGCAGATAATATCGTGATTAATCCTTATAGAGTGTAATGAGTGGAGACGTATAACCAAATTCCTTATTTCTTTACTTAGCTTCTTCTAACTCCAAATGCAAAAACCGCAAGTTTCCAGGTTTCTCTTACCTTCTGGTAGCAGGAAACCTTTGCTTAACGCGGGCCTCTCGTATGGTGCAACCTAGAGAAAAAAAAAAAAACAAATACAGAAGCTAATTATTGACAAAGCGTAAACAAACATAAGATCTCTTTGGAAGAATTTCTACCATATGGAGTCAAGAACTCTTGGGAACTAATCCATCAACCATATCCACAGATGATAAAACATCATATATTACTGCCCTTTTAGATTATACACTAACAATGCATTCATGTGCTATGAGACTGGCCAATACTTTATATAATTAGTCCATGTATTGGTTCTTGAAAGTACTGCAAGTTCACCAAATGCATCAACATAAACACAAATATTCTGCATAATTCCAAGCATGAATTGCAATTGAAACTCCATGTACAGAATTTCAAAAATCTTCACAAAAACCCTAATCCACACTAAGTAACGTACCCAAGCATTATACCAAAGACAAGCCTAATCAAATTTCAATCTAATACTCATTAAGCCATCAAATTTCAATCTCTTCTCGCTATCAAATAACAAAAATTCAAATCTAATCATGAGAGAAAA